GAGTTATCGCACAAGTTGGATCTGTATCCACGACGAGAATTATTGTGTATACCCTGCATGGTCGCACTTTTGTTTCAATTTTTTGCCTTGTTTTTGTTTGTCTTGTTAGTGTTGGCAAAGGTCCGTTCTAAAAGATTATTTAATTTCCTGCGATATTTGAAAGTTTGTTTCATTCAATAGAAAATACGCCTACTTAAAAGTGTCTTGTCGACGTTGATATCATTGCTAATAAAATTATACGTTGTTAACACTGTGTCACACGTTTATGTATTATGGGATACTCAATTACCGATACGCTGTGCATCGTTAAACACTGGTTTAAAGCCTTGCTTTTTAACGTCAGATGGATTGGATTTTGAGTTTTAAAAATTCTAAAAAAAATATGAACCGAAAAGAAATGCTGTTGTCTTCAAGATACCCTTGTTAAATATGAAATCCCTGTTTTGTTTTTGTTTAAGCAAAAATAAACATGATTTGTCTTATCAAGTTGAGCTGAATGTACTTCTCAAGGTGTGAAAAGGAGGCAGTAATGTTCACTAATAAACGTAAACATTGAAACGGGAATGAAAAATGATACAGAGCATTTCAATATTCTTCAAAATATTAAGGGTTAGCTTCGGGATTACACGTAATGAAAATGGAACTTGGTTTCTGTATGTTCGTTCGCACCATGACATATTAAATTATCACTGTTCAAACTGATGGAAACCCCTCTTGGAATTTTGCCCCTTCTATCTTTTTCTGAACTAAATTGATTGGCAAGATGGGTGTGCTGTTATAGATACTGCTCGTGGAGAGGAAACGACACTCCACTCATTACACAAGAACGAGGAAGCTTGGAAACGGCTTACGAAAATGAGCTACGAGGGTGCGTTTTATCATTTGGACGTGTACTTGTTGCCAGGGTTACTTTATCCATCTCTTGTGAAACACGAATTCGAGAGACCAATTCGTATAATGAACTCATGGGTGTATGCGCATTTCAGGTCAGATCAGGCTTCAACTGTACACACGTCGATCGCAAACCCTTCGCACTCCTGGCGAACAAAACTCGATGCGGTGACAGCTTCCAAAGGCACTGGCATTCGTCGACGTTACAAAAAAAGCGAGAAAATCACCAAGTATTTGTGACAATGTCTAGGAGAAATGGCCATCGATATTGTTGGCGAACGAGAGACATGTTACTTTTGGTGTTGTTCCACGCGTGCTGCTTCCAGTTGAAAACTGGTCACTGTGCACTCCGAGGTAGGTCGCTATATTTCGTATATCATAGTCATAATACGTCGTGATTTACCATCGACAGATTTTACACCTTGCACAGCGTGGCCAAGATACTCAAACACGCCTCTTAAACTTTGCCACGTAGTCATCAAACACAAATCTTCGCTTTTTGTGGGCATCGTGTGATGAGCAAGCATTGCAGTAGGGTAGCATCTATGTAAGACGACAAAAAGTACTCAGGGCACATTTTTTTTCTCAGGGGGTACAGAAAACAATTAAATTGCGGCTTGTGCATGGGCTGTGTACATTTGGAAATTTCAAAGGAGGCGCCCCGGGGTAAGATATTCTACGAGGATGGGGAGCACGTGCCCCCGTAATATTAAACCACATTGAGCATGCTGTGCCAATGGTAATGTACATAAAAAAAAATCACCGGCATTCTGTCAAACAGACAGAAATTGAAGTGGGTGATTGACTGAGTCAATGTATGAAATCACATAGCAGACAAAGCTGACATTGTTTTACAACCTGGTCATTTTTTCTTCCTTTCTTCATCATTGACCGATAATGCTCTACAAGTACGGGCAAATTTGACCTTTCGGTTTTCACGTTATTTCAATTCTAATTGTTTTCAAACTGTGCAGCGAGAAGTGAAGTAGCAAAAGAAGTGGCCAGTGGTGTAATTTATCTGGATGGCTTCACGCGGCTTAAGTACTTTTGCGTGTCTAAAATCAAAGCTTATTGGGAACGAATCAGGTTGCTCTTATTTCAATTTAGCCTGGCAGAACTCTAGTACACCAGTCTGAACAGGGTGTTAGCTAAATGATGCGCTTATGTCTTTGTTTACGTGTACCAGTGCTGGGCGGACAAGTTGAACTGCAATCAAACATCCTGTCTATATGTAATCAAGGGCTTTGTTTTCTTATTGATCTTTCTTTTTTCTCTTTATGTTGATTTGCAACATTTTTTTCCCTGCTGTGGATATGAGGTCACGTGACATTGAGTGAGCAATACGTCCGTTATTACTTCCCCGAAAAGCCGCGCGCATGAGGTGTGCACAGAGCATCTCCACTAAAAAACATACAAGGATAGAATCAGAACGAAAATCACTTGCGGTTTTCAACCTGCCCGTTCTTAAACTGAGAAATCCTGACCTGGGGATGGTTGTGTGTGCTCTATTTGACGGGTGGGGACGAGGTCAAATCCGTGTAACTTGTAACAGTCTAAGTAAATCTCAGTGGCCATTAAATTCAAAATTTTGAGAGCTACAACCAATTTCCGAATATAAAACAACGCCAAAAAATAAAAAGAAGCCAGTAAACCCAAAGAAAATAAGCACAACAATTTTCAATAATTATAACAATAAAAGTAGAATATCAAGAGAGGTGGTACCGTGATCATACTGAGTGTAAAATAAACAACATAAAAAGCAGTCGGTGCGGAAGCACCCGCTTCTGGTCGGGAGTGTTCGTTTCGCTGGTAGCGACGCGACCGTAGCGCGTGCATTTCATGGTCGTTTGTGAACCAGCGAAGTGCAGATCCGACCAAAGGAGCCCCCGTTGCGGGGAAAATTTGGCCCTCTATTGTTGCAGCTCGGGGCAGATTAACGAGGCAGCCAGCGTATCTCCTCCCATCCAAGTCAGTAATAAAGATAAGCGCTTTCACTCAGTTGCTGACTCATCACAGAGACCGAGCCGTCAGGCGTACAATCGTTCCTAATTGTGAACATGACTCTGGTCATGGACACCCTACTCAACACAATGGTGATCATTTTGCTCGGGTGGTGTTTTAGCGAAATTAGTCTCACGTATCTAGTGGAGTTTGCGTCATCTAAAGAGTATTACTTGTGCATTTCAGGATTAGCGCAAAGCATTAGCCTATACGTTATTTACAAGGCCAGAGCAGTGTGATGGTAGTAGTAGTATATGGCTTCTATTATCATTTGGCAAATGCTGGTTTGATATCAACACTGTATCCGCATCACCGTAATATACCGTGCACATGTAGGAATATGTACACTAAGTCAAATTGCTGTATCCATTGTCGAGTGTATAAAACTGTTACGTCTTTGAGCATAGTAACCGAGAGGTTCCCACGCACAATATATCCCTTTTTTTTACCAAAACGGATCCGCATCCGTAGCCTTTTGGTCACTTTTTATCTAGACATTATGACGAGAGTCAATGGTCCCCACCTGATTTAAGACATGACACCCACCGAACATCCCCATGGATGGGAATACCTGCCACAACCACTTCATTACTTTTTAAGGTCCCATCGAGACCAGTTCAGAAAGGCGCCAATAAAGATGTCGTTCTATGGGAGCTGGAATGAATTGTCCTTGTGTATCATCTTATAGATTTGTCAATCATTGGCAAGCAGGCATCACAAAGTACGAGTCATAATTCTGGGATATTCCCTGCAAGCGCTGCTGTCGACAATGACAACCAAACGTTCTCACATACCGGTAAGTCAGCAACATCAACTCTAAATCATCAGAATCATTTCTGTACTATTGCTAATGGGCCAGGATTTTGTCTCTCCCGGTTAATACGTACCATTTTCTGCCTTTTGTACCATTATACAGCTAATGCAGGCGACATCCATCCTTGGTGGAGGGTGGATCTCGGCGCTGAATACTGCATAGGAGAAATCAACGTCATAACTCGACAAGGATGCTGTGGTGAGACCGCTTGTCTAACCAGTTAGAAAGATAACTTTGAATAAGATTTCTTTACATAATTGGTCTGTCTGTCGTTTTGCATCTCACATGACGAATTTCGAAATAAAAGAACTCCGTGCTTAAAAATCGAAATATTCATGGCAAGGCATTTCATGCAGATGCGGATTTATATGCATGCTAAGATTCGGGTTTTTAAAAGTCCCTTTCAAATAAACGTCTGTTAAATTATGGAGTCCAAGGTGACTGATCAGTTGCATGATTGAGATGTATTCACGCCAGGTACAGAATACAAAACTTTCTAAACACACTCATGTGAGGAATTTGTATGACTGTGTTCTTTCATTCGTATTTCTAATATCACTTCTTGGTTTTTTCTTCTGTCAAGGCCAGCATCGCTTCACCGCTGCCGTGGCGAGAGCGGGGCTGAGTTCAAACTACGCCAGGAACCAACCGTGCAGCTCTCCGGTCCCAAGAGCCCAAGCCACAGATGGAGCCACGATTACCTTCCCATGTGCACCGGCTCGGATGGCTCGATACGTCACCTTGGACATAGACTCGTCCCGCCAAGAAGTGACATACGCACTTCTGCAGTTGGCTGAGGTTATGGTGCGAGAACACGTAAACGGTAAATGCAGTGGATGTGTAGGAAAATTAAGTAGCTGATCACTGAATTAAAATTGCGTTAAGAAGACTGTTCCAAGTGGGCTTCTGTTTCACCCAACATGACATGCGCTAAAGGTATTAATTAAAGTAAAATATTCCAATGGGCCTCGAACTGGACCAAGAGAGGGCGATACTTTCCTAGCAACGGAGGCTCCTTTCGTGGGAACTGAACTTCACGGGTTTACGAACGACTAAGAAATGCACGCGTCACGTTCGAACCGCTACCCATTAACAAACTAAAAACTCCCGACCGACACGGCTCTTTTAAACCGGTGACAGGGTGCTACTGCTCGAGGGGGGATAGCTTCAACCGAGGCTTCCATGAATTGCAAGAAAACTTCGGTGCTCGATCTGCCTGTATTTGGTCTGACCAGACCACCCACCTGACTACCCATCGTTGTTGATAAACAAGGCTTTTAAATCAAAATGCCATCGTCTAAGCCTGCCAATGACACGTGATGATAGGTCCCTGAATTACATTATGATTCAACAACACGGACCATTGTGTAAATATATAGTCCGTGATTACGCGAAGTGGAGTGAGAAAAAAAACGAGAAAAGGAGTTGGCTTGCGTTGTGTAACGGATAAAGATAAGTACTGATGATGTCAGTGGTTCGAGTTCTACAGGGTCTTTTTGCCCTTCTCTTCCAGGCTATTTTCTGTTGGAATAGATCAAATCGGAAAGGAATTTTTAATTTAACTCTCCAGGTTTAGGGTCTTGAATTTTTTTTTATCCAAGGAAATTACCACTTACTTAGTTAACGACTTCATTATTGTTGCATATTATATTGTGCAATAATTACCAATAAGGTGGCATTTTTCCTTACAAAGCCTCGTTAAATCACATTGGCGGGTAGTCGGATCGAGTGGACCAGAAGCACTTTCTCAACGCAAAGAGAGACAAGCAGGAAGGTAAAGAATTTTCAACTTGGTGCCCGGCTCAAACGCCTAGGCCCTAGACTTCCACAGATATTAGTCGCCATGCATGATGTGTTCATGTTGTCCCGCATAAAAAAAATACAAACGTGTGGCAGCAAGCGGCGTTTCCCTGTATCAAAATTCGTGTTGTGCCTACGTTAAAGCACGCCATCTTTTGTTCATGCACAGAGCGGACACTGCACCAAATGTGATTGCAGCCATCTTGCAGCATCACTGTTTGTGCACAGCGAGTGGTGCGTGCAGTAGTTAGGCAGGTCTTTAATAAGATGTCAACGTCTTGTTCACCAGACAATCAGGTCTGCCAGTCATTTGGCCTCTATAGGTAGCTGGGTTTAACAACAAATAATTGAAAATCCACAGCTGGCGGCCGCTTATAGCTTTCACTTCATTTAGCGTCAGTGCTCTTTCGTTTGCTTCCTAGACCTCACTACGGCTCAGCCTTTTGGTAAATCTCTCAGTCGCATGACCAACACCTTCTTCAAACTGCATAAGGGAGCCCTGATCGCAAACTCCCTTCCCCTGGCGACCAATGTGGCCGTTTCTCTGACGAGGTGTGCCCGGTACTGCTCCAAAGATGTCCGCTGTTTCTCCTTCGACTTTGCGCCAGGAGACGGTCAGTGTCGAATCCACAGCCTCAACACATTCGACATAGCGATGACTCCAAGCGAGAATTTCTCAGTTTGGGTACGTTCAGACGAGGTGGTGCAAAATATTTGAGCTTAGAGATTTTGAAGCTTCATTGGACTCGCGTGTGGAATAGACCCAAGTGTGTTATCATGCATAGTAAATTAAACCTTCGGAAAAAACAAAAATTGAGTGTAATGATTTCGTTACCAGGTTGGAAGACGTGTCTGATTAAAGTTTGTTTTAAGAAAACTACACATCGTTTGAGTATTTTAATGGGCGAGTGACCATCATCTTGAATTGTAGGAATGTTCTTAAATACGCCAAAATGAAGCAAAAGATGGCTTTGCAAGTTATACACAGACGGAGGGCGCCCTCTCCGGCCATTCTGTGATTTTTCTGTTTCGTAACATGCAACATGGCGGCGTCCTTGTACGTTCTTCGCGGGTTAATGTTTGGATTGGACTGAATTCTTTTTTGTTTAAAAAGGACATTCATATTTTTGTAATGAAAATTGATATTAATAGTAATTGTCTCCGGCTTTGTAAGCCATCTCGCTATATTTCCGGCTTTATCTAAAAATCAAAATCTCACTATTGTACTTCTGCAAAACCACAACGAGGAGGTGGTGTGTGATCCTGTTCCGGAAACAATGTTCTTTGGTTGTGTTCCTGTCGCTCGAGCGCGAGAACAGTGTCAAGAACAGGCCTCCCGAACTCGACTTTTAGGATTTATAAGTGACGGCGATTTATCGAGTCAAAACCATCATTAGTTTCATGGTTCCCGATAGGATGCTGTATAACGTTTGAAATTATGCACTTAAATGGCTTGGTGTGCATCTTAGTTCACGTCGATACAATTTTCATACACTAGCCTACATTCACGTGACCGTGTCTCAACCGACCAGGATTAAGAATAAGCAAGAGATGTGTCAGTTTTAATGTTGCCAAAGCCCAAGAATTATGTACGAGATAATAATAATGATAAATAATAACGCACCGTTTCCATAAAAATGATCAACGGCGCATTAATAAAGGTACAACTTAAGGAAATAAATGGATATTTAAGTAATGAATGAATGAGATAGGTCACCCACACTCTTGTTATGGTTATTTTGAGTATATTAGTAATATGCATCACAATGAAAATAAGCTGTGGAAGGAAATCCATTAGATTACTGACAACGGTACCAATAGTGTTCACCAGCTCTTCACTGGTGGTAAGGTAACCCAGTGTAATATCCCGGCTACCGAAGGACCTAATGCCAAGTTTATGGAAAGTAACGTTGTTCTCTATACCCTCTTGAACTTCACCTTTTAACCCGGCTACTTTTGGGAATGTGGACACTATATTGTATTACTTTCTTTCGGTGTATCACAAATGCTGCTTATGCATTTTCTGTTCTTCTTACACTTTTTTTCCAGAGCCTCACATAAAGACAATTAAATCTGTGTTCCTCCAACTCAAATATAGCGTGTATCTTTTGACCAGTTCATTACAAACTGGCGACGAGGATAATTAGTGACTATGGCTGCCTTGGTTGGTAAAATTGAAGAATTTCGAGAATGGAGTACAGTACGTTGAAAGATTGGAATATTATTTTGTAGCCAACAAAGAAACAAAGCAAAGAAATTTGTTCTACTGACTGTGATCGGGCCTTCAGGCCTACAAACTACTTCGGAATCTCGTGGCTCCTGCGAAACCCGGCGATAAATCCTATGATGACCTGGTACAGTGCATGACCCATAATCCGGTACCATCAGAAATCATCCAGTGTTTCAAGTTCATCTGCCTATACCCAGAAGAGGGTGAGTGCGTAGCCCGTAGCGGCTCTGCGCTCACTGGCAGAGTTCTGCAATTATGGCAGCACCTTAGACGACATGTTGCGCGATCGCTTAGTATGCGGCGTCCGAAACGACCGCATTCAACGGAACCTCTTCGCAGAGAAAAACCTGGCACTGGAGAAGGCAATGGCAATGACACTTAGCATGGAAAGGGCGGCCAAAAATGTAAAGGATCTGCGGGCAACGTTGTCCCAAAATGACAGAACACTGAACAAAATATCGTAAAGCCAATCAAGGGCTACACGCAAACCTGCATTCAGCGCTAGCAAGCAACCTGACTCGAAAGCTATGGGTAAAACGCTGAAAACCCTGCTACCGTTGTGGCAAAAATAATCACCATCATGACAGGTGCAGATTCAAAAATAACACTTGTTTCACCTGCCCGAAACGTGGACATATCGCGAGTGTCTGTCGATGTGGCAAAAGTGGAAAGACGCCATTTGAATTCAAGCAAATGAGTGCCACGGGCCGGGAAACATGAGTGACACTGACAGTGCTGGCAATAAGCCATATTTTGACGACAAGACTCCAGTGTACTCTCTCCCTGAGTGTTCCAGCAATCGTCCGGGCATGAAAGCCATCAAAGTCACCATGTCTGTCGACAACAACGATCTGGTCATGGAAGTCGACACTTTGAGAATCTGCGGGTACTATAAACTAACAGTGAACCATGTTGCAACGTTGGTTAGGTATCCAATACCGAAAATCAAAGACTAATTGTTTTGTGGAGCTTAATTCACCAATCTTGACCTCTCGCAAGCATATCCCGGATGGGAGTCGCGTGCCTACGTGGTCATCAACACCCATCGCGGTTTGTTCCGCTACACCCGCTTACATTTTGATGTTGCCTCTGCGCCCGCGATTTTCGAAAGCACAATGGAGAACATTTTGCAAGGCATACCGCACGTGACTATACACTTTGATGGTATCCTGATCACAGGCACCGACGACCAGTTTCATCTCGCTACCCTGTCGACTGTGTTTTGGCCCGCTTGGAACAAGCTGGCCTTCGTCTTTAGCTGAGAAAATGTAAGTTCATGGCCTCTTCTATCCTGCACCTGGGATGTACGAACGCACAAGGTCTGCACCCGACTACTGATAAAGTCAATGCTATCCGCATTGCACCAGCACCAACAAATGTGACTGAAGTGAGAGCATACTTAGGGCTGCTTTACCTGTTATGGTAAGTTCTTGCCTCAGCTTTCGACAACCCTTGCTGCTTTCTATCGACGTCTGCGCAAGGACACAAGATGCAGATGGGGTGCCGCGGAAAGGAAAGCCTTCAGTGCTTCCAAAGCTCTCCTGCTATCATCAAATCTTTTGGTACACTTTGACCCCCAAGAAAGATGTCATCGTATCATGTGATGCATCGCAATATGGAATCGGTGCAGTCCATGCCCACAGAATGCCGGATGGTTCGGTAAAACCAGTCGGTTTGCCTCGCGCGCATTGGCTCCGGCAGAGAAGAAGTATTCGCAAATCGAAAAGGAGGGCCCCGCCTGCGTGTTTGGTGTAACTAAGTTTCACATATACATCTGTAGTCGTCATCGCACGTTAGTGACCGACAATAAGCCACTCCTGAGCCTTTTCAATGAAAGAAGAGCAGGCACCCCAAGCCTCTGCCCGCATTCAGCGCTGGGCTCTTACCTTAGCCATGTACGAGTACACGTTGGTCTTCCAATCGACAACAGCCCATGGAAATGCAGACGCGTTGAGTCGTTTACCCTTGCCTACCGCTCCTGCCAAAGTCCCGGTTCCCGCTGAGACTGTTCTGCTAATGCAGAACATTGACCCCTCTCCTCTCTCCGCATCGCACATTCGCACTTGGACTAGACGCCATCCCCTGCTGTCCAAGATACTCCGCGTGGTGAGAGAAGGATGGCCCTCACGCGATAGATAATTTAAATGTCAAACAAGGGAACGAACCTATCACCTGAAACAAAGATTAGGTTGTCTCGTACATGCATTGTACACTGTAAGTAGAAAATGCTCCAAGTGGAGTTATGGACTCCGAAATGTTAATGCTTCACTTATGTTTACAATCCAAGCTGTGAATTCCGAGCCAAACTGAAAACATGAAATATTATTTATATTCTGCAGTTCTTACTTCTAAGCGAGAACTCTCTATAAATCATAAATGGTGAGAATTATGGCTTAAATTTCTCCCATGAATGCCCCAAATTGTTTTGACACTAACAAGGTTCTCTTTACAGGTTAATACTATGAGTTTCTCCAAGCAGAGTTGTGATACATCGGGCTAAATAGACACTGTATGGATCAAAACGAATTGCATATAAAGCCGCGTGGTCTAAATATGGCGTCCCCACAGTCGTGTGTAACGTGGCAGATTCCATGTGGCAAGGTTAAAACTTTCAACGTGTATAACTACAAAAACACTACTCTATTTAGAACAGAAAATATAACAAAAACAACTGTAAGCTAACCAGTCAGCTACGACACCTGACCGCGATAGCTTCTTCTGGCACTCGGGCCCAAATAGGGCAGAGTTGGGTCCGAGATTTTGGTAAGTTTTCTGGCGCCATGTGCATGCTGCATCGCCAACCTATTGTATAATGCCCTGTGGGCTTTCGCGGGCGAAAGAGGGCGCACTAACATGAGAAGTGATCTAACAACATTACTACATTTAGCTTTTGCATATCCATTTATCCTCAGGCAAACTTGAACTCTCAATGCTGATTGGTCGATCCATGGAAACCAACAGTGTGATATATATATATTTTTTTTTTATTGGTCGAGAATTGCATGTATCATGCATGCGTCGAGCGTACTGGCGATGTTGCCGGTCCTCAAAAAAATATGGATAACTGTGATCTTTCCCACTGTTAATGTGTCGTGTCTGCTGCGTTTTAATTATGTACTCTTGGGTACGAGGGTGGATAGCTGTGGTGGTACTACGCGCCATTTACTGTAGGAGATGTGCCCCGTGTGGGGACACTGAAGCACTGTCTGATAGCATGTGCTACTTTCTTCACTCTGACCATGACAAAGACCTGTTGGTTATTAAACTTCTGTTCATACAACCAGCTATGCTCGTGGATCACTGTTTCCGCAGCAATTGCCATTGCTGTTTATATAAAACGCTCGTGCCATTTTCTCTTCTTGTCTGCTTTGTAATCTTAACAATACTCTTCAACTGAATTGGTGTAAATAGGCCAGTTGACAAAACCCCTAGTACTCTATGAATCTCAGGTTTCTCCAGTAAACAAGTATTTTTATGAATCTTAGATTTCTTCTCCCCCCTCCCCCACAAAAAGGTCAACATAGGACACCACAATTAATAGTTTCCCTTGAATCCATACTGCTCAAGTGTTTCAATTTATCTTACATTAAAATATGCATATATTACACATATAAAACCGTTCCAGTGAAAACTATAACCATAATATAATAAAACAATTCGCTTGAAGTGCCATTTGCCCCATCGGATGTACAAAACACCAGGACCCCTGAACAGCAGGCAACAATTGTTAAATGACGAACGTCTGTGTCCCATAGACACAGACACCCTACATTATTCTTATTTTCAACTGGCACTCGTGTGAAAACTAGTAAAGGCTCTATGCTGTTCTGTGAATCTATTATTAATGGGCATCTTCCCGATAATTGAGAATTTGCCTGCACTACTCCAGTTCATAGGGCAAAGGCTGTGCAAAAAAAAACTAAAGGTAATTACAGACCAGTTTCAGTTGAGTGCAATATCGATAAGGCCATTAGAATACAGCTTCAAATAATTCATGACATAACCACAGAGGATCAGTGTGCACTGCATGTATCTGAATCAGACAACATAATTGCAG